GTTGACCCTGCTGGTATTTAAAATACCAGTGGCATAGCTTCCAGAATCACAGTAACTCACAAGCCCCCACAGTACGACAAACTCTCCCCGTGGGAGGCCTGAATGTTGGGCTCAGTAGTTGGGCTGTTATTCCGTTGTCATTAGAAGGGAGCCTTTGAAGGAGTCACCCGGTTACTGTGCCTATCTCATACTAACTTTAAGACCAGGATGGTCCTGGCCCTTTCCTCTTGCTCCCACCCTACCCCCATCAAGAATACTCTGGACTGATCACCTCCCTGACACCCTCAGGCCTACGAGAGATGGAGATACAGTGTCCAGGGTGAAGCTGCAGGTGTGGGGAACACTGACCAGCCTGGGCTCGGTTCTGCCCTGTGGCTCCCTCAGCAGCCACAAGCTACCATGGGTGACTGGTAAGTAGAAGCTGGGGGTCGGGGCTGAATGGTAAAAAGCTTCCCCTCAAGCTCTGCTCCTGACCAGATGTCCCCACAGTCTCTCACCACGACCCGGAGATCCCCTTCAATCACAGCTTCATCGAACCACCCTCTGCCGGCTGGGCCTCTGATGACTCCTTCTCTTCTGATCCTGAGTCTGGAGAGGAAGAGTGTCCTGCATACTGTGTGCCACCCCAAGAAGGTAGCCCCTCAACCGTCCACTTGGCCCCTTCCTCATCCATTCAGCAAAATGCTTATGCCAGTCACTGTTCCTGGCTTTGAGGACACAGTAAAGCGTGAGACAGACAGATTCCTGCCCTCACCAAGTTTATATTCTGGTGAGCAGGAAGACAAGCAGGACAGAGTGATGCAGGTGGTGTTGGGGATCATAAGAGCAGGGGCTCATAATCCAGCCATTTCAGGGGCTTATGGGGTCCTGGGAGATGTCCCAGTGTTAGTGGGGGCTGAGTTGAGTTTAGCAGAATCAGTAGGAGTTATCTAACCAAAAATTAGAACGAGGTGGGAATGGTGTTTCAGAAAGAGGTTACAGCATTCATAAAGACCCAGAGGAGAGAGGAACAAGGCTCAGTTTCATTGAAAAAAGTTTTGCGTGTCTAGACTGTGGCCTTTGTCCAGGGTGGGGAGGTGTGAAGAGAGAAGAATGTAGGAGTAGCAGTGATTACCTGAGCAGGCCCTTCGCCTGCCTCTCTGTGTAACCTTACTCTCTTCCTTACCACAATTGTCAGGCTCCTGGAAGATGCTGGATAAGTAGGATGGGCTAGGAGCAATCAATTCAGCTCCAGCAAGCCCCTCTCTTCTGCTTCCTCCTCCAGGGATGGCCTCTGTAATCCAAGCAGAGTCATCAGAGGCCACCCTGGCCACAGGCTCCTTTCCTCCCCCTGAGGATGCCTCCACACCGTTTGCCATCCCTCGTACCTCCAGTCTAGCTCGGGCTAAGAGGCCATCAGTCTCTTTTGCTGAAGGCACCAAGTTTGCACCACAGAGTCGCCAGAGCTCAGGAGAGCTCTCCAGTCCACTGCGAAAGCCCAAGAGGCTCTCTCGAGCAGCCCAGTCAGGTGCTGAAGGTCAGGAGGCTGAAGAGACCACAGGCCCAGAGCCAGAAGAAACATATGAGGTTTCTGGTATTACCAGCTCCAGGGACTCAGCCATTGGCCACTTGCAGCTCCCGCTTGGAGGCCGAACAGTGGCTGAGCGTGTGGAAGCCATCGAGAGTGGTGTGTCCGAGACCTCAGACCCTGTGACCACCATTTACATGCTGGCAGGGACGCCCCAGGGATCTGAGGGGCCTGTTCGGTCTGTCCTGCGCCATTTTGGTAGTTTCCAGAAAGGCCAGGCAGAGCCCAAGGTCAAGAGTGCCATCCTTAAGCCTCCACGCAGGGCCCTAAGTCGGAACAAGGGCAGTCCTGGGTTGACCTCTGGTTCTGTTAACCAGAGTCCTGGCTCAACCCTGTATGAGGAGTCTGTGAGAGCTGGGCCAGAGGAAGTAGCCAGGGGGCCGGGGGTTAGTGCTGAGACCCCAGGAAGGGCCCAGGAGTTGGCCCCTGGGGGTGGCGTCCCAGAACAGGATCCCCAGAAGCTGACTGGAGAGGAATGGCAAGAAGAACCCCAGTATGAGAATGTGGCACCCATCTCTGGGCCATCAGAGCCCTGAGGACCGTGAATTTGGGGAGTGGGGGAACAATGACACCAGGACTGCCATTGGGTCATATTGTGCTTTATACTTGAAGGTGATCACAGGGTGGGAACAGACATACTAGAACCTCTGTTCCAACACAGGGATAGACCAAGCTTAGTGATCTGAGTTGGCTCTGAATCTTGGCAGAGCTCTTGGAGTGAGCTGGTAGGCTGGGGCAGAGACCCCCCGTAGGGACCCTGTAGTGTGGGCTCACGGAACAGGGAAGATGACCGCAGGGACTTTTTCTCTGTTGCCCTAGACTCTGCCCTAAAGCGATATTCTTCCCTTTATTTGCAAAACATTTTTCTCAAATGGGAAACAACCTAAATGTTGGATGATGAAATTGCCTAAATGAATATTTCTTAGCATAGGTTACTACACAACCACTCAAAATCATGTTATGCAAACGTATCTCATGATATGGGAGAATGTTCATGCTGTCTGTTAAGTGCAAACAGTACAGATTAGGACACATAGTACAGTCCCATTTTCTTTTTATAAACTTCCTTTTTGCCTTCAGGTATATGCTTCGAACTCTCCCTTTTGGAGTGTGTTTTGTGAATATTGTGTAAGCTTAAGTGTTGTTGTTTAAGAGTATCGGTGCATAAAAAGAGACTCAAGGGTAAGAAGACATCAAATGGTAATTTTCTATGAGAAGTTAGACTTTCAATTCTGGTAACATTTGCAAATTTTCTATGTTCTTTTACTTTGTTCACTAAATTGAATTTTCAACAAATTATGAAAATGACAACATATTCTTTGTTAAAAGTAAAAGGACTACCTTTACCAAAAGATTGGTTGCTCTAGCCTGCTCTGTGGGAGAGAAATCCCTGGCAGTCTGCTCCCATAAAGATTTGAGCCTAGAAAACCCTGTGGGCTGTTCTACTCTGCCATATAGGGTCATTATGACTGGAATTGGTCTGATGGCACACAAAGCCATTACACACATGGATAAAGTCAAATAGAACTCCTTTCTCTCCAGAGGCATCCTGGATGACAAAGGAAGGACAAGATTTTACTTTTCAATGCCTTTTGGTTTTGTTTGGATTCATTCCTTATGTTTGTATTTACCAATTAAAAAAAAAAAAAAAAGACACCTCCTTTTCTCTTAGTCCTTAGAGACTCTCATTAACAGTTTAGGTGCTTTTTAACTATTTTCCAGTAAATGTGTAAACAAATACTTAAAAACAAAAGCATACTAAGCCTATGTTTCTTCACCTTGCTTTTTTTTTACTTAATGTTAGGTTTTGGATATCTTTCAATGTCAGTCAATATAGAGCTACCTCTTTTTATAAAAACTGGCAACATGGGATTTCATTGTGTGTAAATAATATAAACCAGGTTGTATAAACCATTCGGTCTCTTCTGAAGTTTGGGGAGTCCTGGTAGTGTGACACTGTAGAATAAACACTGGACCACAAGGTTAGTTTGAACCACAAGGTCTGTGGTTCAAATTCTCCAGCCACTTCTCAGAATCCTGATACAGGGTTGCTATGGGTCCGAACTGACTTGGCAGTATTAATAACAACAACCTACTAGCAAGAGTTCCTAGGTGGCACAAATGGTTGTGTGCAACTATTAACCAAAAGGTTGATGGCTCTAACCCATCTAGAGGCACCTTGGAAGAAAGACGTGGTGATCTGTTTTCTGAAAGGTCAGGGCCTTAAAAACCCTGCACACATGGAGTCTCTATGAGTCTGAATCCAGTTCATGGCAATTTGTTTATTATTTTTTCCCCTTGAAACACTTGGATTGTTTCTAATTGTTTTGTTATAATAAACAATGATGCAAATCTATTATTTGCAACTTTGTCCATATTTTTCTTTTTACTGTGGAAGTTTTTCAGTAGAATAGATTCCTAGAAGTAGAATTGCTGGATTATGGAATAAGAATTTTAAAATATTTTCATACTTTTTCCAAATTAGCTATCCTAAAAATTTGTTGTTGAGTTTATCTTGCAAATATGGGAGTTATCTATTTCCCAAAACCCAATCTAATAGGTTAAAAATAGTATCTCATAACTTAAATTTCTCTGATTATTCTAACAATGAGTTTTTTCCATATCTTTATTTACCATTTGTATTTTTCCTTGTAGATTATTGGTTATATTATTTTCCGTTTTCAACTCAAGTATTCCTCTTTCTCTTGTTGATTTGTAAATGCCTTTTATGTATCAAAGGAGCCCCGGTGGCATAGTGTGTTACATGTTGGGCTGCTAACTACAAGGTCAGAAGTTCAAATCCACTAGCCACTCTGTGGGAGAAAGGAGGCTTTCTGCTCTTTTAAAAAGTCTATAGACTCAGAAACCCTACATAAGGTTGCTATGAGTCAGAATCAACTTGATATCAGTGGGTTTTGTTGTTGAGATTTTATATACTAAGGATATTAATTCTTTGTCTAGTTTGTGATTGGTCTTTTTTTTTTTTTTTCAATGTTTTATTGTGAATTATGTGATAGTTTACATGGAAGAACATTAGTTTTACATTCATCCTATCATTTATCGTTTCGTTGTCATGGTTACAATCCCCTCCATGCATCATCAACCAACCAAAGGGTATACACTACAAACCTGCCTCCCAGTTGTCAGCACACAGCTCCTCTTCCTCTCTGTGTCTAAATTCCCCAGCTGCTCCATCTCTCCACGTCATCATCTCTGCCTGCATCTCAGGCATCACTGCTTCTCTGGGCAGGGTCCCGCTCTCCGCAATTCTCCCTTGATAGTCCCAGGGACCTCTGCTCCTAGACTGCAAAGTTAATCACTCCCCTACTTGCTACAAAATGTCTACTTTTACATTTCCAACCCTCACAATCAGTCCTGATAACAATTATTCACTATTGTATCACAAGAGACCCATCCGCATTTCATTTCATCAGCCCCTCCTAGACAGATTGGATACTACTCAGTGGAGATTCTACCTTTCTCCACGCCCTCTGGATCTAGACTCCCTCTTGAAAGCTTGTAAGCCAGTCACTTCTTGCCTTTGTAGCACCCCCATTTTGGGTAGCCAATGTCCAAGTTGCCCATCCCTGTCTACTCTGTGTATGGGGGGGTGGGAATGATCCTCGCTGTAAAGACTTGTTTCCTCTTTTGAGCTACTGCATCCATAGGTGTAGGTCAAGTGTGATTGGTCTTTTAATATTGTCATAGTTTTTTGTTTTTCTCTTTATAAGCTTAAATTTACAATTTAGGTAATCTTTTTTGTTTTAACTCCTGGGTTTCTATCAAGCTTAGTGAGAAAGTCTTCTGTATCTAAAATGAGTGAAATAATCTATATTTTCTTCTAGAATTTCAGTGGTTTTGTAATTTGTCAGCAATGCTGGTTTTGGGGTGTTAGCACTCCTGCCCAAAAGACTAAAACTAAAGAAACAAAAACATAGAAATAGAATTTCACTAGGACAAGCACTGAGCTGCGAGGTCAGTGGTTCAAACTCACCAGCTGCACTTCAGAAACACTATACAGGGTTACTAGGAGCTGGAACTGACTGGACAGCACTTAACAATGGACAGCACTTAACAACAATCCTGGCTGTGAATCTAAGCTCTGACATTTTGTGACTTTGAAAATGATACTGAAAGCTTTAGTTTTCACATCTGAAAAATGGAGATAATGCTCATCTCCCAGGGTGGTTGTGGGAAATTAAGTGACAAATGGTATATAAAACACCTAGACTAGTT